AGGACACAGACTCAGCGGTGAGGCTGCACCCAACCCTGACACAGCGCAATGACCCGGCCTGCCCCAGAAACACCCCAGGGCCCTGCCCTTCCATTCCAGGTGCACCAGGTGTGGGCAGGCAGGCTCAGCAAGGCAGGATCCAAGTGTGGAGAGGAGTGGTGTGCAGGGATCCAGGTGGGGGTTCAGAGGGTGTGTGGGGCATTCTGGGTGCAGGCGGCTCAGTGGGGGATCTGAGTGAATGGGGGGATCTGGATGCACAGGGGCTTGTTGGGGGATTCTGGGTGCAACGGTAATGGGACTCTGTGGGGGGGTCCAGGTGAAGGTGGTTGGGGTTCAGCAAGGGGGGGGTATAGGTTGGGATGGGATAGAGCTCATCAGAGGGGTCTGGGTGTGGGGGCGTAGTGGGGGATCCAGATGCTGGGGGAGTGGGCTCAGTGAGGTGAGGAAGGGGATCCAGGTGCCGCTTGTTGGGGTTCATTGGGATGGGGATCTGGGTGTAGGTGGCTCGTCAGGGTGGTCCAGGTGCAGGGGGAGAGGGACCTGGCGAGGGGGGAGGTTCTAAGTGTGGGCGGTGAGGCTCGGCAGTAGAGTCAGGGCATGGGGGGGGTCTGGATGCACAGGGGTTGGGCGGATCGGGGAGCAGCTCCCTGTACAGGGATCCCTCCCCCTGCAGCTGAGGAGCAATGGGTGCAGGAAGGGGGGGACTTTGCAGAGCTTTCTGCAGCAGGGGGATAAATCTGGGGGTGGGTTTGACCCGGCCCTGGATGCTGTGCAGGGGAAGAGGAAGTCCCATCCTCCCCAGCCCAGCTGGGACTAGCAGCTGAGCCCGATACAGGCTAGGAGCCACCAGCCAGGTCTTCCCCAGTCCTGCCTCCTGCCCCACAGTGATTTACCTCTCTGCTGGCTGCCCTGGGCACCCAAAACATACTGCTGGGAAGGGTCATATGACTGCTTTTGTGGCTTCCCTTTGCCTCCCTGTAGAAAGTCATTTTTCTGCAGGGAAGCAAAGAAATCTGTGGGGGACATAAATTCTGCGCCGTGCAGTGGTGTAGAATTCCCCCAGGAGTAACACAGCATAAGGGCCTAATCCTGCATGGTGCAGAGGCACCTGCTGTGATATACTGGGCACCTGCCACACTCAGCAAAGTCAAGGGGAGTGGTGGGTGCTCAGCGGCTGTTAGGATCAGCTCCTACGTTCAGTTCCTTAAAGCACTGTATGTTGTAACGCATTGCACTGGGATCCTTAGAGCAATAAATATGTTATTCTACCATTGTCAGTCAGTGTTACTGGGAGGTTTATAACAGGCCCTTACAGGAACTGGGCTGGGCAGACATTGTGCTCGAATAGCGTTATGATTTCTGTGGTCTTATCTGTACTGCCACTGACAACATTCATCCCCTGAACAGTGAGCCTGGGCACCTGATTCTCATCTGCACTAAGCCCCTTTCCACCACGGTAATGCCCAGGGGCCTGGAAGTGGATGTCAGTGTAATTTCTGCTCCTCTAAACTCCTCTTTACATTGGTGCAAAGGGGAAGCTGTGTCATTGTCAGTAATGCCCTTGGGCTAGAAATCAGGCAGAATCGTGGCCAGTCCAGTCGTCCTTCGTCAGGCCAAACTCCTGCTTCCACTTAACATTGCCTCAGTCAGGGACTGCAGGATTTAGCCCAGGTCGCTCCCCAACCATGGGAGGGAGGCAGGCAGGGGAGGGTAGAAGGGAAGGAAGGAAGGGTGATGGTCTCCAGCATTAGAGAACTGCCTGGAAGGAGTTTGTGACAGATCGATCCAGGGGAGCTGCAGCCATTCATGGCAGCCTCAGAAGTGGGGTGTGGTCTAAGGAGACCTGGCCAAGTCACTTAGGGAATCTGTTCTTTTTTGAGCCAGTTGCTCTAATCACTAGCCCACGTTGCCCTCTATTGTCAGCTGTTTCAGAAAGGACATTGACAGATGCACTTTACTTCTCTCTCCCTGCTTTGTGCAGCCAGACGCAGCTTTCTAACCAGCCCCATTCAGCTCATTTTTATCCAGTTTATAGCTAGATCCAAGGGGAGGCGCTTAACTTCCATTGACTTCGGTAGTAATGAGGCACCTAACAGTCTTAGCCATGTCTGAAAATCCCACTAGGCATCTCTCTGCATTTATAGGCACCTAAATACCTTTCAAAATCTGTCCTGAAGTCACTTTTGAAAATTGTATCCTTCATTGTCTTATGTCTCAAACACGTCAGAGCTTTCAGTTTGATGATTTAAAGAGCAATTTAAGTCCGTCAAGACAAGATGCCAAATGGTCATTACATGCCTGCATTGTAGCACCAAGAAGTATGGAGCAACAGTGGCCCAAACATGGAAAGCTGGGTGGAGACTTAGGTTGGGGCCGTCAAAAGAACTAAGTGATTTAGGAGCATTTTCCTTGAAAATCAATGGGACTTATGCTCCGAAGTTATGTGGGTTTGTTTATATAGCTCATCCATGTTCTGAATATTTAAAATTATTCTAAATCATATAGAACACCCCTGTACCGCTGGAATCCAGACAAATTCTACAAGAAATGCTGTAGCCTCTGTAGATTCTTAAACCCACCCATCTTGTATCGATCACCACAGCACATCCTCCTCGGAGGCGTTCCTCACTGGACACTGAACCCAGTCACTGCAGCAGTGCACTAGGCATCACCCTTTGGGCCAGTGAGTCAGGATTTTTGTCCTACTATTTTATGAAAATGATCTTTGCGAAATGCCTCATTTTATCTTCCTTAGGTAAAACTCCTGCATTAAATTTTGGAATTGGGAAAACAGCCTCTTCAGTAGGACATCAGTGTTGAATATCTATGATATGTTTGGAAACTTTTGCTGGATTTTAATTGTATTTCCGTTCACTTGTACAAAGTTAGAGCAGCTTTTTTAAATATTTGGGATGCAGAGGATAAATATTATCAGATTAAGTAATTTCTATGGCTGAGCTATCCAGTCCATCTGTGACAGGTGGAGACCTGACGGACACTGACTATAACGATATTTTATTTCTCCAGTGCTAGGAGTGCAGTTATATCTGTACCAGACTCAGCGGATCCAGTTTGTTAAAGTTAATGACATTGCAAAGATCCACTGTTCTTCCAAAGAAAACCTGGAAGGAGGAAGTAGCATGTTTTGGTATTTGAGAAGAGAAGGTGAGAAACCCACCTGCATTAAGAGCTGTTTGGATGATCAAAATGTAAGTAAATTTGCTTGCAAACACAAGACACACAGCTCGACCCTGGAAATCAGCAACGTCCAAAAGACTGACTCTGGCATTTACTACTGTGCAGTTAGAATTACCAGCTACCTGATTTTCGGGAATGGATCCACACTCATTGTTGGAGGTAAGGAACCATACCTTGGTTAAGGAAACTAACAACTGATTGACAAAGCGTATTTCATGTTCCCATTAACATGTGACAAGAGACCATAGTTATTGCTGAATGGCTAAAGAGAAAGCATACTTTAAGCCAAACAGATCAGCTAAACATTAAATGCTATGGGTGCAGAAGGAATAAGTTTTAACTAAAAATGTTAAAACTTGAAAGTTGATGAAAAGTGCTGAAAATAAACTACTGAAGTTTCTCTCTGACTGTTCAAGGCACCCAGGTTGGGAATATTTCTAACCTAAGAGCCATGATGGCATGAAACAGTATTTTGAGTTAAAAAAAGTCAATGAAATTTATAAAAGTGCACAAAATTTTTCCTTCTAGGTAGTGCAGCTACGTATTGCGCTATATCCTAGTTAGTGTTGGCGTGGTGATTTCATATTTCCTTCTTCAAAATAGATTTGTTTCTTCGAATTAATGTCTTAGTGAATGATAGTATGCAGTGTTGTTGTAATTGTCTTGGTCCCAGGATATTAGAGAGACAAGGTGGGTGAGGTAGTATCTTTTCTGGGACCAACTTCTGTTGCTGAGAGAGACGAGCTTTCAAGCTTCCACAGAGCTCTTCTTCAGGTCTGGGAAATGACACTCTGAATATATTTCCCAGATCTGAAGAAAAGCTCGGTGGAAGCTCGAAAGCTTGTCTCTCTCACCAACAGAAGTTGGTCCCATAAAAGATTTTACCTCACCCACCTTGTCTCTTAGTGGAAGATTAACATCTTTAATCAGACTGCAGCTCATCTGATCATCACACTGAATTCGCACCTCCTTCTGCTCAGACAGTTATACCAACAGCAGCTGGGTGATGCTTCTGGTCCCATTTCCACGTGGCAGTCAAGTCACTGGGACAGCAAATATGCGCTGTATGCTCCCAGCA